CTCTGAAAACCAGCCGTGCCACTCTGTGGTCGACAGGACAGTGCAGTGGTCGCTGGCGCTTCATCCGCTGCCTCGCCCCTGTGACCGCCCGGCACGCGGAACACTCGAGATGTGAGCGCGCGCGAGGATGCTCATCAGACGGTCGTCGGCCAGATGGCCGGGGGAACGCGCTCCCCCGCAGATGGGTGGACCTTGGCCGGACCTGTCTCCCGCGCAAGAGTCGCCCCCTCGCCCGACGCCTTGCCCGAGGGCACCGTCCGCTCCGAGTGCTACCTTGTCGATGTCATAGAGGCGGGCGACCTTGCCAAACAGGGATTCCTGAGGCCTTCGCCTCCATGGCCTGGAACGCCCAATTCCAATGCAAGTGGTGCCTCTGCGCCTCGCGGGAGGTCTCTCCTGCCGTCTGCGACAGCACCCCGCGAGAGGCCCCTCCTCTTTTAGCGCGAGCCGTGGCAGCCGGTGCGTCGCAGCGCGCAATCGACGTCGATGCGGCAGACGCCAGCCCTGCCGGCGTCGGCGACGCTGCAGGGGCTGGGGCCAGTCCCCCAGGGGCAGGGGCGGCCCCCTGCCCCCCAGTCTCCGGCCAGGACACCGACCCCCGGGCCCCCTCAGATGGCAGCCCGGCGGCGCGCGGCACCTTATCCGCCCTCGTGCGTACCAGCGCGGGAGCGCGCGACCCGTGGGAATCCCTCCGCTCCCCCGAGGCCAACGCCCCCGACCCACTTGTGAGGCCAGCCCTGCCGCCGCGCCTCACCTCCGCACGCGCGCCTGCCTCCGAAAGTTCGAATCTGCCGAGGCCGGCGCCAGGGCCAACGGCCCGAACCCCACCCTTCGGGCCCGCGTGGGCCGCCTCCCTGGAGGCGGCCCCCCCGAACACACAAACGTCGGCGCTGCCGAGCGGCCGACCGCGCTGCCCCCCCGAACCCGCTTGAGACTTAGCTCGCCCAGCCCTTTGGCCGCGACTGCGCCCTGGGCTTCGCGGACTCGCTTGACTCACCAGTCAGCGGTACCCCTGCGCGCGCCATCTCCCCGGAGACGCCCCCTGCCCCCAACCTTGCTGGCGCTCCCCACCCCTGCGAGGCTGGTACCTCTGGCGCTGCGAGCAGCAACAGTAGGCCTGGCCTTTGGAGCGCCTGGGCCCCCCGGTTCCCGCCCGCCGCTGCGCCTGCGCCCCTTGGGCCGACGCCCGCGGCGGCCGCTGCTGGGGCCGTCGATGTCGGCCCCGCCTCCACGCTGCCAGATCAGCCCCCGCTCACCCCGTTCCCATGAGGGCCCCCGACCCGCCTGCGGATATCCCCGAGAGAGGAGATACGCCAGCCGGCTCCATTTCCTGGGACCAGCTGGCCCAGGCCACCGAGGCGGCGCGCAGGTGCGCCAGGAGGCGAGACCGACTGGGACGATGTCCGCTGCAACCGACACGGCAGCAACGCAAACGCGGGCCCGAAGCGTTGCCCGCCAAACATTTGAGAATATTCCACTCTGTCGGTTTCGACACCACGAACCCGCAGACCCAGGCCCTCCCGGCCAACGTGCGCCCCCCTGCCCATTGCTCGGATGAGCTCAACGATCCTGGCCCGCTGCAGGCAGCTACCATGGTCCGCGTGTTGGATCAGCGCCTCTGACCATCTTGCACTATCGCAGCCGAGGCGCGCTTCGCTGGGAACCCTGCAGCATCGCCTCGCCACATTCCTGGGATATTTCTGTCTCGCCCAGGGGGCCGGCCCCCCCTGGGCCTGGATGCAATTGCCCCCCGCCGACAGGAAGAGGGCCGCTGCTTGGGCGGCGGGCGCGGCCCTCGCCCAGACCTTCCCCGCGCCCCGCGCGGGGGGCAAATGCGACTTCGAGGCTGCCCCCTTCCCCCCGCAACATGGGGGCGCGTATGAAGACCCCGACCGATGCAGGCGTGCCCTCTTCGACTATGCCAACCGCTTGTCTTCTGCTGCAGCGGCCGCGGGCGACCCTCCCAGCGGCCCCGACGCTGCTGCCGACGCGCGCGTGGGCGACGCGGCAGACGGCCCCCCCGTGCCCCCCCCCCCCCCGCATCGTTGCTCGCGACTCCCTTCGGCGCGCCCGCGGGGTCGGCTGCCGCGGCCCCGAGGCCGAACGCCGACGGGGCAACAGCGTCGATCCCAAGGGGCCACTTGCTAAGGCCCAACGCAACAGCCTGCGCGGGCAGTCCTCTAGGACCCAGAGCGCAGCCCGCTGCTCCTTGCGCTGGCTCCACGTCGAGCGCGCCGCCCCTGGGCGTCGTTTCCAGCGGCAGGGCGAACCCGCCCCCTCCGAAACAGCACTGGGGGGAGGGGGGCAACGGCAAGTGGGCCCCGCGGCGACCGCCCCTATTCCGACAGCCCCCATCCGCCCCAGCCGCCCCAGCGCGGGCTGTTGAGCTCAACTGGGGCTCGAGGGGCCTCAGTGCCACCTGGACCTCCCGATCGTCGGCCTCCCCGCCCGAGCCTTTCCCAACTGCGGCGGCTGCTCCGAGAACCAGAGGGGCCCCCCTGCCGGCGCTCGCCCCGCAGCCTCGCCGCGCCCCGGCCCGTCTGGGCCGGGCGTCGGTTGCCCCCGACGCGGCGACGAGGGAGCGACCTCCAAGGGGCGCCCGCCAGCCGCGCCCCTCCTGGGTGGTAGCAACCCCGCGACCGCCAACCCGGTGGCAACTGGGGCCTGTCCCTAGCAGGCAGGCGCGGACAACGGCTCCAACTTGCCCGCTTCCCTGGCCATGACGCCGCCCCGCTGGCCGCGGCGGCCGATGCGCGCCCTGGCGGGTGCCCCGGCGAAGGCCGCTGGCCCCGGGCTGTTTGGCCCCCTGCCGCGCCGCCGCCAGCGAAACTTGCGGGCGGCCCCTCCCCCTTGCACCCGCGGCAGCCCGTCGCCGCGCCCTCCCGCCCGAAGAGCGACGCGGCCCCCGCTGCGGTCCAGGAGGCCCACCGGCCTCTGCGCGACAGCGCCGCAGAGAACCGCTCCGCGGTGGCTCTTGGAGGGGCGTGCGCACGGGATGTATCGCGCCTGGGCCCCCCCCTGCCCCGCGCCCATGACGAGGGCGCGGGGGCCCGTCCGCGAGCGCTTCGCGCGGGCGCGCGGTCGCGCCCCCGGCGCCCCTGGCGAATCCCATTTTCGCGCTCCCAGATCCCCGCTGTCAGGGGCGCGCTCCCATTTTCGCGCTCCCATGCCCATCGGTGGACGCCGTGCACGGTCGCCGCGCCGTTTGCCCTCCTCCAGAGCTCGCGCCCGCAGCGGGCCCGCCCCCTCGGCACGGGGCCGACCCATCTCTCGCGCGCGAGCGACATCAGCCGCGCCTCTTCCAAGTCGGAAGACGTCTCCGCCCAGCGCGCCGCCCCCTCGTTGGAGGTGGCCAGCTTGCGTCGGTCCTGTCCCAGCGCCCCTGCGCGGCCGACGAAGGCCCCGCCCCGGGCGCCCCCCGCCCCTGCCCTCGATCCGCCCCCCGCCCCGCCAGCGCAGGACAGCCGCCTCCTGGGCGCCGCGCCCAAGCTTACTGGGCAAACTACCCCTGCGCAGCCCCAGCTGGCCATCCCGCGACTCCTCAGTTCGGGCGGGGGACAGGAGGCGGCCTTCAGGCAGTGGGTCGCGCCCCGTCGCGCCCCGCCCGCTGGCCCCGGGAGCCCGGGCCGTCGCCCCAGACGCACCGCTGGCGCGCATCCCCCCGAGGCTGATCGACGCCTGGGGCGTGGAAAGATGGCGTGGCTTGATGGGGGAGCAGGGCCCGCGCCCGCAGACAGGCGCGGGGTGCCCCCGCTTCCCTCCCCCGCGCCCGTCGCCCGGCCCACTTCGGCAACCGTCCAGGACATCCGTTCTGAGGCAGCGGCTGTCTCCCCGATCTTGGGGTGACTCCCTCCGCCCGGTCTGACGCTTCCCTTTCCCTTCCTTGCGCCCTCTGCAGTTCACGCCGTGAGTTCGACCCGCGCCCCCTCTCCCGGCCCCCCCCCCTGGCTGCCTCGGCGGGTCTGGCGCCGTCGTCGGGCCCGCCCTGGGGGACCCCCCTGCCCCCCTTTCAGGTGCCGATGGTGGCCATCCACTACGACCTGCACGCTGGCCTGGCCCCAGGGAAAAGGCGATCGGCGATCGGATAGGGCCCCCGCCCCCCTCCCCTGGAGGATGCCCGCAGATGCCAGGCCGCTGCGCGACGCCAGCGCCCGCGATGCTGGGCCAACCTGCCGGCGGACGTGGAGACGTGGCACCGCCCCCGTTATGCTGGGGGCGCCAGTGCCTGCTCGCGCCTTCGGCGCTGCCTGCGGATGCAAAAAGAAGGAGGAGGCGGAGGAGGAGGAGGAGGAGGAGGAAGGATATTGAAGAACATTCAAGAGGGATAGAGGACATCTCGAGTGAGAGTCCGATATTGATAATTTGATGCCTTCCATCCCCGAGGTGCTGCGGGAACAGTAAAGCAAGTGCGCGCGGCGCCGAGGCGAGATCCACATTTTGAAAACAAGCCGCCTTCAACCCTCAACCCGTCCTCGAGCGGGGTTTCGGCGCTGTAAAGCAGCAGTGCCTGAACGTTCAAGGAATGGCCGCTGGGCTCGGAGGTGATTAAGTCCCCACCAGATTGTGAAAGGCAGCACCCTACCCACGATGGTCTCACCTTTTGTGGTTTGCTGACCGTTGTTGCTGCAGCCGCCGATTTCGTTCCCTATTTCGCTCCCCCTTTTGCCGCCCACCGTGTGCGATCGGGCTCCCATTCGGTGTCCCAAAGCCACGAACGACCGATGATGATGATGATGATGATGATGATGATGATGATGATGATGATGATGATGATGATGATGATGATGATGCTGATGCTGATGCTGATGCTGATGCTGATGCTGATGCTGATGCTGATGCTGATGCTGAAGCTGATGATGATGATGATGATGATGATGATGATGATGATGATGATGATGATGATGATGATGATGATGATGATGATGGCGACGGCCAGAACCCAGGGGGACGATGATGGCGGTGGCGACGTCGACGCTGGCGAGCAGCGGCGGGAACGCCAG